TTCCTTGTACTCCTTCCACACTGTCTCGTCGAATTTGTAACCCAGCTCTTCGAGGTCCTCGCACAGGGTTTTCTCTTTCGTCAGGGTGAGCACGAAGGTGTTCGATGTGTATTTGCTTAACCCGAGAGCCGATTTGAGGTATAGTAGTTTGCATTTGTCCAGTTTTTCTAGGTTGGTTCTGGCGAGTTTGGTGGATATGCAGTTGAACCCATACCGGATGGTTGGCATGATTTTGATTTGGAAGATTTTCAAGGCCAGCGTCAGTGGAAGTTTTTGGAGATTTCCAAGGCAGACGATGGTCGTTGCGGTGCGCGTGAGCAATTGGTCTACGTGGTCACTGAAACCCAGCGCTGGTTGCATCGTTATTCCGAGGTATTTGAAGCTTTGTACGAGCTGTATCGGGGTTCTGTTTATGTACAGTTTGGTGTTCCCTGTCGCACCTGCTTTTCGGAATTTCATTGCTTGGTTTTCCCGTGTTGATGATCATCTCGTTCTCTTCGCACCAAATTGAGAGGGAAGACAGTGCTCTCTGCAGCTCTTCTGCGTTGCTCGACGCAATGACGAGGTCATCGGCGTACATTTTCGCGAGGACCTGTCTCCTCTCGAGTCTTGTGAGCAAGCTGTTGATAAATAGACGAAAAACAGCGGGGAGATCGAGTCGCCCTGGGCCACACCCTTGTACTGAGTGACCGGGTCGCTGAGATCGGTTCCGCTGTCGATGATGAGTTTGTTCGGTTGGAGTATGGACCGGAACGTGTTTAGAATCTTCCCCCTGATGTCGAATTTTTCCGCCACAGCTTGTAGGAGTTTCGTTCTGTTGACGTTGTCGAAAGCTGCTTTTAAGTCGATGAACACAGCGTAGGTGGGAATTTCATTCGAGTCGATGTATTCTATGAGGGACTGGATTGCTTGATCGCAGGATCGGTGGGGGAGGAATCCATATTGGTTATCTGAGATCTTCGGTAGACAATGGAGCGTGAGGCGGTTTGCTAGCGTGTTGGTGAATGCTTTGTAGGTGTGCGAAGCGAGGCTAATGCATCTGTAGTTGCTTGGGTCCTCTGGGGAGCTCTTGCCTTTGAAGATCGGTTTGACGTGGGCGGTACGCCAAGCGCTTGGGATTGTGCCGGAGTTGAGGGCTGAGTTGAACATTCTGGTGACCAGCGGTGTCAGGATTTCATGGTCTTTTAGAATGTCGATTGCGACCCGGTCTGGTCCGACTGCCTTGTGTCTTTTCATTCTTCTCAGGGTTTCGGTCACCTCGTCGTTGGTTATATAATCGTTGTACCAGTCTTCGGGTCCTCCGGGGTGTTGCCGGGCGGGTCCAAATGTCGGGGCGGCTTCTGTCGATAGGTACAGGTTTCCGTAGTATTCCTCAAAAGTCGGGATGTCGACCTTCGGTAGGCACGGCGTTTTTCTCTGTGGGAGCAGAATCCAGGGTTTCGTTTTGCTGACGCTGACCTTCCGTTCGAACTCCTTCAGTTCGTGTTCGATCCGCTTCTCTTTGATGGCGGCTTTGTAGGTTCTTCGGGTGGTCGCGTACTCAGCCGTCCCTATCTTGCTCAGCGAGAGTTGTTTCAGCGACCGGCATTCGCTGTCGAACCAGGGCTTGTTCTTTCGCTTTTTGAGTGGTTGCACGTGGGTGGATTTCTCGATGAGCGCCAGGAATTGTTGGTAAGTCTCATCGAGTGTGTGCTCGGGGAGTTGGGAGATGGCCGGGATATGTTTATTGAGGTCGCACTCTCTGATCCTTCTCAGTGGTGGGCCCGGTCGATTTCCGGTGAGTTTTGTGCCTGGGTTGGAGAGAGTGACACGCAGGGACAGACGTTGGTGTTTTCTGTCGATGGTGGGTAGCACTTTCAGATCTGCGCGGCTGGTGAGGTTTTCTGATACGAACATCAGGTCGATTGCGCTCTGCCCGTTGTGAGCGTGGTACGTCATTGTTTGTGCGTCGTTGAGGAGATGCAAATCGATGAGGAGCAGAGCTTCGATGAGGTCTGATGCTCTGGTGTCCTGGGGGTCGTGGGAGTCTAGGCGGCAATTGAAGTCGCCATAGAGAATCGTCGTCTTGGTGGCAACCGCCATCCTTGCCTTGTGGGTATCAGCTATGATGTCTGCCACTGGGGTGTTTGGGGTGAAGTAGGCTACGAGGTAGGTTGTCTGTTGAGTTGCGTTTGCGACTCCGAGAATGTGTTCGTCTTTGAACACAATTTTCGTGTCTGGGATGAGTGGTGATACCAGGATCGCAAGGCCTCCGCTCGGTCTTCCCTTGGTTCGTTGGGCTTCTGAATAGTATCCTTTGAAGTTCGGTACTATTTGGTTGTCTGGTTCGCTTGCCAGGAATGTTTCTGTCAGCATGACTACGCTGTATGGACTGAAGTCGAAGTCGCTGTCCTTCTTCATGAAACCGAGTAGGCCTTCGACGTTCCAACTCAGTACTTGCATTGTGGGTCCGGTCCGGGGGTCTTGAGTTTGTTCTTCCGGTCTGGGTCGATCTTCGGTTTGGGTCGGGTGATGGGATGCTGTGCGGAGTCAGCTGGGCTTGCCAGCTGTTTCAATGATCGTGTATCAGTCGTGCGATTCTAAACTCTCCATGCGGAGCAGCGATTGCTTCGCCCGATCGCCGTCTGACGAGAAGGATAGCACAGGACGGGGGAATTCTGCATGCGGCCGAATCCGTTTTCTTCCATCGATTCATTATTCACGTCCGATGCAATTATGCATTGTCACATATTAATCCTTGCTCGAGCAGTAGGAGCAGCAATCGGAGTAGCGGCTTAATTCGGTCGTCCGGAGAAAATTTCAGGACTCCAATGCATTAGCTGTATGTGTGTTTCGATTCGCACAATACCGAATCGTCCCACTACATCTCTTCATCCATCTTCTAGGCTTCCGTCAAGTGTTCAAAACGATCGAGCAGAGTGGTGTTGTCACACCACTTTACGACGATCGAATCGTCCTAGGCTTGCCGTCGAACAGGTTAAGCGGGATCCTCCCCACCAGCTCCGAAGCATGTCCAAACTGGGATACCGCAATCCTTGAACGCTTGTATAGATATACGCAGAGAGACGAGGCCAACCTAAATTAGCATACATACATGCATTCATATGTCAAAACACGCTCTTCAAGGTCTCGATGCTGGAACCTTGTCGATATCCGGAGAATAGACCTGAGACGGAGTGCAATAACGGTCACGAAATCGAACACATCCGAAGTCTGCGGAAGCGTATTCTCCCTGAATTCATCAGACTTCAGAAGGATCATTACCTCGGAGATTGCACCGACGTACTTTGTCGCGGAGACAGATGCACATCGAATCTTTCAATGCGCCGTGACGTGTGTATTTATCTCGGAAAAAAAAATTCAGATACTAACTGACTTGATCTGGTCGAGATCCATCATTCTTCGCCAATTGGAACATCCCCATAATTCCTCCTCCTAAAATTCGAAAAAAAGAGGGAACAGGGGCTGAACATGCGGAAACGGGTCCCGCAACTCGATGTTCTCGGGCGCGCGCCCGAAAAGGTGGAAAACTCTCTCCTATTCATACACTATGGTACCTTAATCCTCCGGATTCCATCACGCTCGATGACTCCGGTGGAATGCGCGCGAAAAGAGAGAGGAGAATGAGAAAATGGCTTTCGCGGTGAAGAATCAGGGCTGCGGGCAAATCCATGTAGCATGGTGCGTCCGTTCCTCGCTGCTTTCGCGATCGTTGTTATTATCCGATCGAGGTCTTATTTCGACTCCCGCCGCTCGATTACCGGTAAAGCGAGGAGTCGGAGAGCTCACCGGGAGCCTCTGTGAGAGCAGAAGAGGTGGTCGACTGCAAAGTGGCTCCTCGCTTTCAGAACGAAAGCTACGATACTAGTAAAGGAGGAAATGGCTGCCTCTGCCGGAGAAGTAAAAGATTAGTCCCCGGGGAAGAGACGTCACTGCAGCCACCGGGCAGGTGGGAGTCTTGGCGTTCCGGGCAACTAGGAAAAGCGGACGGTCGAGAGATCACAGCCAGCGAACGTTCGCCGCACTGTCAGGGTAAAGCTGACTCTACAGAGTTTCGCGGGAACTGCGGCTTAGTCGCTTTATTGCGGAGAGCTTGTCGAGTTGCCCATCTTCTGAATTATGGGAGAGCCGATTTGCATGCTGGTATCACGCGACACTCCAATTAAATGAGAATATAATCTGACAAGGTGACACCGAGGAAATTCGATGCTAGGGCACATTCCCTGCGGAACGCCTCCGGGAAACTCCCGACACGTCTCCCTGGGAGAGCAATCGAAATCGGTCGAACTTCGGAAGCGCCGGAGGAAGAAAAACCTCCGCCGAGCTCTTTCCGGCCCGAGAAAAGCAGATACTAACCAGAACTGAACGACCAGCTGGTACAGCAGCGGCAGGAACAAGACCCCGTCCGAAGGAAAATACTTGCTGTGTCTGCTCTCCTCTTGGAGGATACGAACGTGCGGATTCCATTTGATTGGAGAGCATGCTTGAGGGAATATCCGAGGGATCAGCGGCGAATGAAAGTCAGAAGAGCGGCGTGTGTTTTGAACAGCGAAAGTTTCGGGGATTCTCCCCGTCGACACGTGGGAACGGGGTGCAGGCGTGAGGAACTAGTTTTCCGCGGTCCACTTTCGGATGGGACTTCCGGGTGGTCTCAAGGGATGCAGGGGGATTGTCGACCTTGAATCAGCTGTAGCACTCAATTAATTTCTTTCATCATCGGTCGATAACCTCCACGTATGTTCGATCCATCGACTGATGAGGGAGTCGGCTGAGTGCAGCTTGTGGGTTCCTCGATAATGCGAGAGGCAGTGAGGAGAACTCCGAAATCCTCCCTGTTCTGTTTGCGGTATCAGGGCGACGCCGACGCCTCAACTCTGACTCGCGCTCCGCGAAGACGTGACTGGGCATCGAGACAGCTGAAATGAATCCATGGAACACAAACTGCTACTCTCAATTAGGTACTTGGTTTCTGAAATAACGCCCAACGACGCCCTCAGACAATGCGCACCTGGTACGCTCGGAAACGTTTGACTCATTTCCCTTGCGAGGGCGTGAAGCGTAATATGAATGAAGCGGAGTCGGAGCCCGCCCTCGGAATTCTGCCGAGGGAGGATATAATTAGGACCATGGCTAACATCTGCTATTTTTCCCGCTTTCCAGGTGAGCTTCACGAAACGAGCAGCGGCCGAACTGAGCCGCTGCTTCAACGGATTGGCCGTTCGAGCGAAGGCAGGGGCCTCGAATGCGGCTTCGACTCTTCGTGAAAACTCCAAGTCCGGATCACATGGAATGTCTTCCCAGACCGCAAGTCAAGGCGGTACACCCGGTAATGCATCCCTCCGTGCATTGTCGTTGCCCGTAGCGTGATAATCCCGATTCCGGATGTAGCTAGCGACGAGGAGCTACGCCGAGAATCACGGAGTTGGGCGTGATCTCGGATCTACACGATACAAGACCTTCGATCGAGATGACGGTATCGGTGTCCGGAAATCGATATGGACAAAAAATACAGTTCCCTTGAGCTCCTTGGGATACTCTCGAGGGTCAGAAGCTTGCCCATCTCACTCAGCGAGTAGTCGCGGGGGATCATTTGCACTACAATCAGTGAACTAGCAAAGATTTAGAAATCTGTCGACAAGGCGTGCGGGCACCCTGTTCTTCGCGAGCAAGCTTTTTTCTGCCAAGCGTTGCTCAAATTGGGAATCCGACCCACGAGGGGAGCTCAGGACGAAAAAAAACACGGCTTAGGCTCATTCCCATCATTGAACATACGATTTCTGAGCTATTGAATTGAAAATGAATTGAATCATTGGATTGCAGCTCCCCATGCACTTTCGACAGTGGATTATCGGAAACGGAGACCAGGCGCCGCACGGGAATTGTGGAACGCACTGACGCGACCGAAAACTGTACAGGGTCTTCTCGAAGATGCAGAATTTCTACGAAAACTTTTCCAATACTTCGGCGGCGCTGATAGATGTGTCTTAGCGCAGGTGAGCTCTTACGGGGGTAGCGTCTCGGACCGACCAGCAGGTTCTTTGCGGGGGATTGAATCCGGCTCCTCGCCTTTTAAATGCTCGCTCAGATAAGATTTTCCTACTCTCTCAGGTGTGTAAAACGTGGCGCGATATTCTCTATCATCCACGTTATTGGAAAAGTATGGTCGCGGTCATAAAGTATCGTGATCTGAGAGGCTCATCCGACGGCGTACAAGGTGAGGAGGAACGACGATCTGATTCATGGGTCGTCCCAGAAAACTTGCCCTTTTTCCGGAACGTGAACGATTCTGAAATTGGCCTCCATCCCAACAGTCCGGCGGCAGCTCTATGATTCCCTGGAAAAACGTTCTTTCACGGCGGTATGCCTCTTCTACACGAATGAGGAGGACATATTCGATTTCATGCACGCGTGTCCGAGGGTCGAGCATATCACGAAGCTCTCTCTGCGCTGTAGTTCAATCTCAGATCGAGCGTTAGAAGCCTTAATCGGAGCCTGTCCGAAGCTGACATGGTGAGTTCGACTCGGCGAGTGTGGACTCCGGAGGCGTTGCTCCCAGCATAGTCGACCGGCTCTGGCTATTTCGCGCTGCCTTGCAAAGCCAATCTTAACCAATCGTTCTTCTCTCCAAGGCTCGAACTTTTTGGCTGCAACGAGATAACAGATGCCGGTCTATGGGCTTCCCTCACACCGAAAATCCAGAGCTTGGCATTGGCTGATTGCATCAACGTGGCCGATGACACCATCGCTGCCGTAGCGCAGTTGGTTCCTCAGCTGAAGGAATTCAATCTCCAGGTGAATATCCCGGATCTCTTCTCTTCATTCGTGCTCGAAAGCTCTGTACTACGGAATCTCCCGGTCGTCCAAACTCGCTGGATATCCGAAGGGTGTTCTTACCCTTACTCAATGTGCGCAATGAACCGTTTTCTTTCAGGCGTATCATGTAACCGACGCTTCTATCGCCTACTTGGGTGAGTGGAGCGATGGAATTATTGCGAGCGAGCCGGAGGAATACTCTTGGAGCAAACTAGAAATGACGTCCATAGCCCGAGACAGGCGCTCGGATGCTCAAGTTCTCCTTCTTTCACTCGCTTGCATTACTCACTGAGATCAGCATCCGATCCGGCACGTCGCCGAAATTCCAATCTATTCCAGCATCCGTTCCGCAAGAATTTTCCGCTTTCTCACGTGTTTTCACCCCACTCCTCAGGACCGCGTCAGGGCAACACCTTGGAGATCCTACGACTTCGATCCTGTTGGGAATTGACAAACTCCGGTGTCTTGAGCCTCTCGCATTCCTTGCCATCGCTAACAGAACTTTCCTTATCCGGCTGCACCAAGATCAGCGACGACGGCGTCGAGCTCCTGGCCGAGAACTTGAATCAGCTCGAGATTCTCGATCTTTCATGGTAAGGAGTCGCACGCGCCTTGTGAGGAGATATGGCCGCGGGCACGCACAGGGGGGTCTCGACTCCTCTCCGAAGGGAATTGGGGTGCAGGTCACGGAGCTCTCCGCTACAAACCGCTTTTCGAATTCTGGTCAGATGACCCTTGTTTTGCGAGTTTTTCAACCATCCTGAAGGAGCTCTCCGTACTACCAAACTGCGGCTCGAATTCTTGGTGAAACATTCGATGGAGACGGAACCTCCAGATCCTCTTCGGGCTTTATCGTTACGAATTGAGCTGCATCTCATGTGTCGCCCCGCGTAATCGATTCCTGAAAACGGTTTATTCCGAGGCTGCCGACCCAGGTTGAATCAGGTTCTCAGTAATGCTCTGATGGGCGAACGGAGTGTTATGGCAGACGAGCGGGAGGCACGCATGCGTCGAAGACCGGATGGACCTCTTCCGCATTTGGAGGGCACTAAATATAGAAATATTGCCGACAGGTGTCCTCGAATTACCGACGCATCGCTGGAGTTCATTGCTTGCGATATGGGAGTGATGAAACAACTCACATTGGACCGGTGAGTCTCCAGCCTGCGATCTGGGATCGACTTCGTTGATGAAGATTCCCATACCTTGTGATTCCCATTTGGGATTATATTATTAAGCTATGAGAGGCGGTTGTTCAGGCGATCCTTTGGCTCCTCTCAATCACATGAACCTCCATTCCGGAATATGTCATATCTCCAAGGAAACATAGGGAGTCACTCCGAATTCTTGAGTAGCTGCTATTATTTATCATTAACTCTGTTCTCTCGATGTTGCAGCTGCGTGCACGTGACAGACATTGGCCTTGGATATTTGTCCACGATGGCAAGCCTCGAATCTCTGTATCTTCGGTGGTGTTCTCAAATCAGCGATTTCGGTTTAGCACATCTCGCAACCATGAAAGCGCTGCGGATACTATCTCTCGCAGGTAATTTTGCTAGATAGACAGATACATGGCCGACCCCGAGCCGCATGGAATCCACTAGAGCAGCATTAGAGCAGAGACCTTCGTCCCCATTGAAGCTACATAGGGGGCCTATCTTTTAGTCACGACGTATCTGGAATTTCCACAGGTTGCCATCAGCTGACTTCTGCCGGACTGTCGTCTCTTTACCAACTACGTGAACTAGAACTCCTGGAGCTCACCAACACTCCGGGAGCGACCAGCCAACTCGTGGATTATCTTGAGCAGCAAATGTTGCACTGTCTCGTTTGCAAGTGACCGGAGGAGAGCTGCGAAATGCCTGAATGCCGGGATAAGACAATTATGTCATACCAAGCGATCTGAGAGACTAATTATTAGCGGCCAGCTCCGCTGTGGGGTTTTCGTGGATGTATGTATGTGCTGTGAGGATGGATAGTTTCTCACAAGGTCCTCACCTGCAGTCAAGCTCCGAGCACAAATCCCGCAAGGTAACCTCCACAGCACCAGACGTACTCCTTGAGAATGGGAGATGTGTGAAACTTCATTCTGTGAGGTCTAGGTTAGAATCACCGTACTGAATACAATTCCCGCCGCAATGTGACACCGTAGACATTGAGTACCTCTCACGCACCACAGCTGATATTAGACGTTTTTCAACTAATCATCTCGCGTGCCTGTTGACTTGACGTCTCGACATATTCGATCCTTGTGCCCCGCAAGATGTATCCGGTATCGCCTGGAACTCGTCTACAGTACGAGTTCGGCGGACGTACACGGAATCAAGGGTATCAGAGGGATGAGCGGCAGCTCTGACCCAATATCACGACGCATTTCTTCTTGCTACGGAATCACCTGATGAAACTCTTTTCCCAAGCAGCACGAGGTCTTATTCGAAGCTTGTCTCACTTAAGAAACTAAGGACGGGGCAAAGAACAAGGAAACGGGGAGTATTGTGACGCGCATTTATGCGACCGAGAACCAGCAGCGAACTTGATGTGTCGTCCTCTCTTATCACTCAGGATCGACAGTCCTGCAGCCTCCCGCTTCTGACCGCTTGGAGGAGTCCTCCGGGAGCAGGGATCTATCAGATATTGAAATGATAATTACGACGATTATGGTGATAATCCTCCATAAGATTCAGTATGAAGGATTCTGTACCTGATATGAAGCAGCAGAGGATTCGGAAAGTGTTTCCGACAGGCATAAGCTTATCTTGATGGATGCTGTCGGAGACTCGAAGTCTACTTCCGAAACCATAGAGGTTGGAAAGGAGCGCTTGTTTGTCGAAAAAATTCCATGTACCTTGAAATCCAATGTTTCTCCGGGATACGGATCGAGCTTCGCACGTCATTGCCGGGCTCTGAACTCTCTCCCCCCAACGCTAGTCTCGCATCGGACAGGCTCGTAGGACCCCTCGAAAATTCTCTTGGAGCTCAATCCGGCCCGGAAAAAAACTGTGAAGAGATATAAACTCCGATAGGCATGCGAAATTTTCCTGAGCCGAATTGTGAATGCGGCACTCGATGTCTCTATTATGTAGGTTCGTCACTAGTCAACCGGTTGATTGGGAGGAATTTTCGGCTTAACATAGAGATATATATGAAATATTTAAACTCATTATTATACATATATCTTATTTACGTCTACTTAATGGAGTCATGAGTCATGAGATACGGCGACGAACTCCCCACGAATGTAACGCCGACCAGGCCCGTAAGCTGCAATCCATTCAGGCGCAGCACAGAGCAGCCTGGGAATCCAGAGTGAATTGAATGTGGATCTTCTGATGGAAGTTTCGAGTGGGAGGATTGTATCACGTGTAAGATAAGAATACGTACATAAATACATGTTGCGATCATGATCATTGTTTCCATCTTCTCTGAAAGAGTCTGCCCTTTTCGGAATTTAGATTGGCCTCCAAAGAGGCCCGATTCGTCCCCCCTGTGGACCTGAGAATCCGTCTTCCGCATATTTTCATTATTTATTTCATCATCGATTTCAGACAGAATCAGAGCGGCACAGTTCTCGGGATTCCCCGTCAAGATGCTCTCACCGGCGGCGTCGGAGACTTCGGACTGCGACTGACTGATTTCGCAGAATTTAGACCGGCACTGTCGGTTCTCATCAGAAGCGGGAAGCCGACTTCATCGAGAAACCCCGCGATCCGTGAATACGGAATCTGGAGAGGGAGATCGATAAACGCACGTAATGATTCGATATGGGAATGTTTGGTCTTTTATTGGACAAGGTTCTTTTTCACCCATAATTATGATCCGAGCCTAGAATGTTGATGATTCTGATTCCGAGAAATGCTGCGCATAGAACAAAGCAGCCGGCGACCGGACCGAATTCGCCTCAACCTCGTCAACCTCTCGCCACCGCCAGAGACATGAGAGGACCGGGGTGATTCGAGGAGAGATTCAGAGGGCGAGCCGTCCAAACCTCAGCGCGCGAGACTGTAGCAGCTCTTTCCTGCGGCTGATCGCACTGATTCTACCCAGCGATGACGTCTAGATACTCGGAGCTAGGTCTCTGTTCTGGAATTGAAGGCGGACGCCCATCTAGATCTAGATTCTCCATAAACAGGGCCGCCGACCGACGTTTTTTTTCCGATATCGCAAGCAGAATCCCGGGAGAGATCTCAAGAGAGGAGACAGTACTTCCTCCATTGGAAGTGACACCTAATTCCAAACTGCCCTAATTGCAGGGCCGATCTACGAAGAGCCGCAATCGGGTTGAGCACTCTCATCCTCGTTCGTCGAGAGTTAACCGTTTATTGAGGACAGTCCGACCACTCGGGACTATCCGTGCTTCCTCGTTCCCTGGAGAAAACTCCGTGCAGCGGAGAGCGCGGTGAGATGTACGTTTCTCGGGCTCGTTGAGTTTTTTTCAAAGCGGCGAGGGTTGCTAGAAAGAGTGTGAGAAAGACATGGCTCCTCTCGCAATCCGGCACAGCGTTCGAGCATGATACCCACTCGTCATTCGGAGGTAGAGTGTTCGAGATACGGCGGCGTTTCTCTCATTACTCGAGGTGAACTCATCCGGGAAGTACCGTGATTCGGAAGCGAAGGTCATCGAGTACAAACTCCGAAGATCGATACTTCTTTCTGCAAAAGTCCAACTTCAGAATACGGTTCTCTCGGGGGAAATGGAAGAAGGAACCGTTTCTTCCGATCAGCCGAAATTCCGTAGGGGAGTCAGAGCGGTCGTTTTTTCCGGTGAAGAGATCATCGCTCGTCAACGCGGAGAGCCCGGGAAGCATCGGCCTCAAAGAAATCCATGCGTGCGAGCAATGAGCAACAAGCTCTGTGGCTCAGAATCACGAGACCAATGAATCTGACTCGTTCACGGTTCTCCTTGACTGTTGGGAACGTCGATCATTTTCCGCGAAGCACACTTCGGGCCAGGGCCACAGGGAGCGCGCTCGGTCATGGTCAAGCGCTCGATCGTATGTTGTCGGTGACCTCTGTGATCTCGTATCGTGAGAAGATCTTCTCGCGAGGGCGCGCTTGCCGACGACCAGAAAGCTCCTCCCTTAGGAGAAAGGAGGATGCTCAATCATTCTGACTCTTCTGTCGACGATGATTCCTGTCGGATTGAGATCTTTCCCCTGGTCGCTTTCGGCCGCGACGCTGCTCGGGAGACTCGGCTTCAGAAACTGGTTCCACCCCCTCGACTGCATAAGGGCTCCTGATCCTGGAGCACCCCGAACCTTCTGTGAAAGCCACTGCTCTTGCGGCTGGAGTAGCATTTGATGATGCTGCTGTTCCACTTCAGCCAAGAATTCTTCTTCTTCGTTGAGAGGCGAGATTGGGAGCGCGAGCGAACGCGTTCCGACGATTCGCCGCGGTGTCATGACAGGAACCGAGAAGCAGAGATAGACGACGGGCCTCAGAGGTCGGCTCACCGAAACGAGAGCGGGAACCGCACTCAGACCGGATTTCTCATTGACCCGCATCTCTGTCCTTCCCAGGAATACTCCCGGGATACCGGAATCGTTGTTCTCGGGGAGCTCCATCTGGATGCCCTGAGCCATACCGATATCAGGCTCGCATGTGAGGGCCACCTGGAATATTCGGAACTAATTTTAGTCACGCGAGCGAGCAAAAATTCAAAGTCCTGCCCTGCATGAGCTCCGTCCACCTCTCCTTGCTCGAAGATGAGGGAGGGGGACGGGACGGTGTCGCATGGTGTATTTCGATGCCGGAAAAATGTTTCGCTTCGTGTGGGTAACGGCTAGTCCTGCCTTTCGAAATTTCGAGAATCTATCACCAGCGAATTCACGCATCGATTTTGGACTTCAGACGCAATGGAATGATTTCCGGGATTAGATGTAACTACACACGTCTGAGACTTGGAGCTTTACAAATCGAAGAAACTCACCGTGGCCTGACCGAGACGCTCTTGGCGCACTTGCCCTTGCTGTTGCCATTCCTGTTGTTGCTGCTGCTGGAGGAGCAACCCACGGGCGCGAAAAAAAGCTCATTTGCTTGCTGTTGCAATCTTTCTTGCTGGAATCGCTCATGCTGCTGCAGTAGCTGATCCCGGCAGACGATTTCTCCAACGACGAATGTTCGCGGCGCTTTCGATCCGTCCGGATAGGGCTGGTACTTCGTCGAGATGATCGGTCGCGGCCGTGGGGAGCACCCACGCCACTGCGACTCGAGGTCTTTTTTATGCGGCGATTGCTTGATCCGGGATGCTGGCGTCCGACAACAGGGAGTTCCGAGTCCTTGTCCCGGGGCCTGACCAAGTATCACATGCTTGGCCGTGTCAGTCAGCGAACTCGATGTCGTTAGCCAAGGTCGTTTGATAAGCGGTGCGTCTTCACTGCCCAGTGGGAGAGTACCCTGACACACCTTGCTCTTGGGATCACCGGAATATGCCACCCGCGGGGAAGTGCTTCCTGCAGCAGCCTCCGGAATCTTCGTACTGGCGGAAGATACGAGACAATGAGCTAAAGGAGGGGACGTTGCTCGATCTACGCGGAGTCCGAGGTTTTCCTGAAGCCGCGTATTGCTTTCAAAGCGCATGATTTCTTCAGATGTTCGCGCAAACTCACCTAAACGTGGTATATCGTAAGGCCTAGAAGGACACATTCTGTGAGGTTTGGGGTTGATGGACCAACTGATTTAATGGGAAATCCGTCACATCAAGGATGACATCACTGATCCGGCAGAGCTCCAAAATGCAACCACATGCCCGGACACGGAATTCGTGAACTTAGCTCATCGAATCCTCAAATGACAATCACGGTGCTAACAGTCTGAGGATGACGCCGACAGTCCGAGAAGGAATCAAGGCTATGGTCATTGGCTTCGCTTAAGCGTTTCGTGTACAAAGTAATTATTCGTGTCTCCCGAATCGAAGCACGTCAACGAGACGGTTTCGGACACTCCAATCGAGAGGGCCGATCAAGCCGGAAGCGGGAGCTCTATCTGTCCGTGAGGTTGAGGATCAAAACGTTTCAAGCGACGGGGTATGAAACTCCGTCGTAGAAAAATCGGACATCCCAAAATAACATGACGACACGGGCTGACGAGTTGGGCACTCACTCGAACTTATTCTCCTCTTCCCGAAACGTGACGAGCAGGTCCGCCATGATTCGCTCCAACTTCGAAACCTGGGATGAGAGGTCTCCCTCGGTGGCAATCTGGGCTGCTGAAGTGCTTCGTAAAACGGTGAGGAATCGCGTCATCGCCTCAGTGTTTTCCGTTGCACTGCGGAGCGTGACTTTCATAGTTAGATCAGACACCTGCGAGTTGTAGAATAGTAGCGGAATGATACCATACTTCCAGTGGCCACCGTTCCAAGGATTTCCGGCACTCTCAGAATCGCCATCTTGTGCGCGAAAATTGGGAACTAGGTAGCTCTAGTTTACTAGAAATGATGTACGAAAGGAGAACAAAGTGACACCTACTTCTTCCGATAACCATGTCAGGAGCTTGTCCCGCTTTGCTGCGTAATCCTTGACGAGACTCATATCGTGTTTCCGCGTGGAAGGCTTCGTGAAATCTCGGCTGAGGTCCAAGGTGACTAGCGTTGCGTAAAGGTCCACTTTGAGCGCACTATAGTCGGTCGGGCGCAATGTCTTCTCCACTGACGCGTCTTCGTTGGAGTTCGAACCTTCGTCAGTGTTCGGACCTTCGTCGATGACCAAGTCACGGTCCTCTGGGGCCTCACCTACGTAGTCGTCCCCTATCAAGGTGAGGTTTTTGAACGTATCAACAGCCATCGTTCCGGCGTACCGGTCTTCCGGCAGATTGAGTTTCCGCACCGATTCCGGTAGCTTTCTCCTCTTCGCAAGGAAACCCGGACTCTGAGTCAGCCTCGATCTAGAGCTCGACTTCCCAGGGAAATCTGTGACCACAGGAGACGGCAGCTGACAAGCGTCGTTTCTCGAGATCTCGTGTGTGATTCTCGGCTGTGAGACCATTGAATGAATTCATCCTCTTTTATGCAAGTCCCTCTCTGAGATGAGATTGACACATGGAAAGGAGGCTCGTGAGGAAAGGGGGAGGGGGCTCCCCTTTCGAGCGGGAATTCGTGGGAATCGAAAGTAGGTGGATTCTGATGCTCAAGTACCCTGAGAAGGATCCGAGGAGCATCGCGCGGTGAGATTGTGGAGAGGACATCAGCCGAGACTGTCAACCGTGTCTGTCTCCGATTTCTTATTAATCGTTCTGACTTCGCAGGGAAGGGAAAATGTAAATTCACCAATTTAGATATCCCTGGCTGGCCGGAGACTCCGACTCGAGCATGAAGCAATAACAACCCACGACCAGGACATTCTCAGGAGAGCGGCGTGGGGTCGCCCTGAGTTCGTCGCGAAGGGGGAACGTAATACATTGAACTTCGCCGAGGACGGCCACATTGCGACCATCTCAATTTGGACCGAAGAAGCGGCTCGTCAGTTGAATGGCTTCGCTTCGGCTTGGAACGGTCATTCGAGGATCAGAATCTCGCGTCGAATTCGAGTGTCCCAATATTTGAGCGGTGATCTTAATGAACGGAATTCAGTGCATGATTCTACAGCGGAACGATTTGCGAGAAGAAGCGTCGATCCGGTCAGCGGCAGGAGTTCCTCATTCAACGGGATAGAATTCATTCGAGCTCCTGATGACCCGATCGATCCTGACCCTCCGCGAGCCTCGGGGTTGAGTTTTGCGATTTGGGTCGGCGATGATTCGGCGGGGATCAGCTCCGGTGCTCGAGCGCATAGAATAGAAACCACCCCCCGGAGGATCCGGTCGCCGGATTCGGACCGCGGATCCCGTCCTCGATTCAGCCTCAGCTACTTCATGCTTGCGGATCTGCATGTGTGATTCTGAACAGATGTGGCCGATCTCCTCCTCTCGCCGCGGCGCTTGAATGTACCGCGAATCCAGAAATGAGTACGAATTCCAAATTCAAGCCCTCGGAATCTTTCTGCATAATCGAACCCTCGATCCGCTTTCTTTCATGATGCCGCTCACAATCAGTTGAGCCGTGCCCTCTCACTCAAGAAGAATGCGGTTTATAGAAGATGCGTGCCTCAACGGGAATCTTTCCCTCCCAGGAGCCATTCCGGGTCCTCTCTCGAGACCAAGATCGTTCAATCGTAAGCCTGGCCCCACTATGCGCCTGGAAAACTACCGTATCCATTGCAGGCCTCAAGTGGTGACAAGACCCGATAGGTTGATCATAGGACTCGAAAGGGAGAGTCCCCAGGAGCTCGCATGGATGGCCATAGGTTCGCGCATTGCGACCGGGAGGGACGAATGGGCTCAGCCATTTGATCCTGGCGCAGGTACGCAAGAGAAGCATCGTCCCTGAGCCCGAAACAAATCTTTCGCTACGCTTTGAGCCAGGATCGAGGGAATCATGATGAGAATCGGCGTGAATCGGCGCACGAGGATCCAGAACGATCTAGAGTCGAGTCGTCCACAGGGCACTCCTACATTGATTATTGCTCGGCATTCGTTGCAAGAATGCGTGTCTTTGATCCGCTTCCCCCAACTGAGCCTCGGTGACGGCTCATGTGGGTCGAGAGTTGGCAGATGACTCGTAAGGATGCCTACGTCTGGCGAGAGGTACGATGTAGGCCGAGTTACCTGAAAGGGGAAGAAATTCATCCCGGTCTCATCATCGGAGTCGATCTCATCCTCACGTCATCTTTGCGGGAGCGAGAGAACTCGCGGAATGACGAGAGCTCAAAGGATTCCGAAGTGAAGGCAGCCTGGAATATCTCATACGAATATCTCATCGTCCTCGAGGGGATGGATGCTCGCGGAGGGAGGGGAAGCTCATAGTCCGAGAACGGAAATAAGATGTTAAGTGAATACAGCGTAATCTTGAGTAAAATCCTGCTCAATGACTCCGTGTGAGTCACTCTCCGTTTTTATTGAATACCAGCCTTAAATAGTCACAAATTAGGACTTATGGCGAGAATCCGGAACGGTAAATACATGAACTCCGCGCACTATTAACATGTCGACATGCCTTGAGCATTGGCCAGCTAATCCTGGAACCAAGTTCTCTCACCGGTCTGGGAATCTTGCAAATCGCTCCAAGTGGTACACGAGCCATCAATTGGGCCCAGACTCATTCCCCGGCAAGCTCGCACCTGAGAGAATGTCCCAGGTTGCTCCGGAAGCTGACGCTCGGGCGACCCATCTTTCGGAGTTTCGATTGATTTTCCGGTCCAGCTCTTGAGGGCTTCTCGGAACATTCAAGTAGAGAATTCATTAGTCATGGAAGCAAGCGAAGACAATCATCATTTTCGAGATTACGGATATCGAGTTGCGATCCAGTTTTTATGATCATGATCCTTACACATAGCAAACCTTCGGAAAAACTCCATAAGCACAAAAATATTTTAAGATCACTCATCCCTAGCTAGAACTGTACCCATGAGGGCTCAGAATTCGAGCTTCACCAGTTTCTCATCGATACTTGACACGTATCTCCTTCACGACATTCTTCGACCTTTATAAATCCTAAAACCCACACAATCGTTCCGCAGCAGATACAGCGAACACCCTCAGCTCATTCGATTCCCTCCTGCTCTCAATTACGATTCAAGCAGAATAAGCATCCTGCTGGGAAATCTCGGCGATTGGGTAGGTCATCATTTATACATAGTTCATCTTTTGTACATGGAGACGCGTGTTCCGCGATTATTGTTGCGTTTGGTAGAAAAGGTCTTCAGAGCGGCAAAAACATCCGCTTCCCTGTGAACGACGATGGGGTTGCACGCTCGTCTACTGGAGCGTTTTGACGAATCAGCAGTACCTCTCCTGTCGATTAAGTTACGCAGAAACGTCGAGCGCGAACACGGCTGTGGTCCTACAGAATGATGTCCGTAGTCTTAGACAGCGGGGTTACTTCCTCGCGGAACAGATCGAATTCACAACGGCGAGCCTTGTCGGCGACTCAAACGTTCTTTTCGGGAGCCCGGTCGAGTCCTTACACTATTCGTCTCGATCCAGGTAATCTCGACCGTCGAGAAGGGAGCATCCTGAAACTCGTCAGGAACTCAATAATATTGTCGCTGTTGAGAATGCTGCTGTTGCGCCGACGGAGGTTGTTGCTGTGGCTGAGCGCCCGGACTCGGCTGTTGCTGCCAGCGCTGCTGTTGTATGGACTGAGGTTGAGACGATTGTGCGTTGTTGATACGGTAGAAGTGCTGCTGATTCTGAGGAGTCAGTTGTCGTTGCTGCATGAGTTGCTGAAGACGCTGTTGAGTCTGTGCTTGCTGTTGAGCTTGTTGCTGGACCTGCTGCAAACGCCATTGCTCTTGCTGCTGCTGCATCAGGCGATGCTGATGCTGCTGCTGTTGTTGTTGCTGCTGCTGCTGCTGTTGCTGTTGTTGCTGCTGACGGGCCAAGAGCTGCTGTTGCTGCTGCTGATGCGAAAGAGGAAGCAGAACGGAACGCGGCATGAGCTGCTTCGGTAGGGACGGCTTCACGACGGGAGCCGATGCACGGTGGTGAACAACGGGCTGCGGAACCGGTGCAACCGAAATGGAGGCGGCAACTGAGGCGAGCCCTGACTGATTGTTGACGTGTGTCACTGTTATTCCGGGAGGGAGCTTCGGTATTACAGGAGCTTTCTGCTGGAGTGGAATCATCTGGATATCCCGCGGCAGCTGGATTTCCGGTTTCTTTGCGGGAACCACCTGGAATGGAACGCATTCATTTTAATTCTCTCAGATAGGCGTCTTATTGAGAGTAGGAAGCAGAGGAGAGGGCTGGGGACAGGGTCTGATAGCGGTAAAATGCTTTGGGAGCGATGGAGACAGGAGACATAAGGGGGAGGGCGAGCGATTGCCCGACAAAATGGGGAAGATCGAGGGAGTCGAGATATTGTGGCCGAATCGAGCAGAAGTTTATCGAGAGGACCTTATTGAGGCTCAAACCCCGGCACAAGATAGGAAAAGCTCCTAGTCTGTCTCCCTAGCCAGGGATCTCGAGATATCCGTTCTCCCGGAAAGGAATACTGAACGAAACAGCTGATCGGCTCTCACTCGGCAGGAATATCCTCAATACCGAATCCCTGACCCTCACGACAGATGTACGAGGGAAGAATCTGATTGATTCTATCGTCTCGCTTTCGGAAAAAACAGCTCAAGAATCATACAGAAGTGGGCTTGAATGTGGTTAGCGAGGTGCGAGGTTAGAAGGAGAAACGGTTTTGAACGAGGAATTTCCCACATGCGGAGACACGGAAATACTCTGAGAGATTTGATATCGAGTCTAAGAATGCCAAACGAGCGTTCTGAAGACACGGGAGGGGGACATATGGGGAAACAGACGGGATGTTTTGAGCAGGAAGAGTGGTCGATAGTAAACTTGAAGTCGAAGTAAGGAGGAAGAATTACCGGAGTGATCGATAAACCAGACGGCAAATTAATAGCGGTAGACGCAGGTTTCGGAGATGATGAAGGTGGCGCTTTGTTTACATTGGCTGGTGAAGTCACTGGTGTCATCTGCAACGAGGATTGCGCTTTGGATGAAAATCTTTTCTCTCGGGCTCATTCACGTTTTCGCGAGGGGACTGTTCTCGGGCTTCAATCCTGGGTTAGTTTGGCATGACAGAGGCAGCGATGGTGTGTTAGCCGTCCGTCGAATGCGTCTTGAGCATTCCATGTCATCATTCACATCTCACGACCGCCCCGCCGAGTCCACTTGCAGAAATCCGCCACGGCCAGAGCGGTGTCTATTCGACTCATTCAGGCAAAAAGGGAAGTAAATCTGGCGCATCTTGCCGCCTTCGGTTCTACGTACTCCGAACACCACACAGCCGATTCATTGGGGAAATGAACTCGAGCGGTTACACATATATCCTCTAAGTCCATCAGCAGCGAGCATTCTGGCATTGAATATATTAGTTCATGCAGTAGATCCAGGTCAGACCCCCGAGCCGATGAAATCAGAGCTCAGAAAGGCGACTTTTTTGCAGGACAGCTTCCCGAGAAGCAACGAGCGGGTTCGGTCACCCCTTCTCTGGGGCTCGGGGGTAGGAAAACTAAGAGGAGGCCGGCAGCTCTGATCGGACAAATATTTCGCCTCGGAAGACCCTTTCGTATTCTACATCTTCCAGGCTCATTCGCAGTATCATCATCATCATTCATTCCTTCTAGTAACCAGAAGAGGAAACCGCATTCAGCACTCTGGCTAAGCATGACATCTCATCCAGCAATCGAATAACTCTCCGAGAGTCTGAAGGCATCTCATGACAGGCGACGGGGTGACGAAAAATTCTCAATGCTTACGCGTGACAATCCGAAGGATCGATGTTGGGCTTGAGCTTGGGCGATTCGCTGTTGATGCATTTGTTGCTGTTGAATTTGCTGTTGTTGCATTTGTTGATGCTGCTTCTGCTGTAGCAGACTTTGAGCTTGGTGGAATTGTGATTGCTGCTGCTGCTGTTGTTGTTGCTGTTGCTGTTGTTGCTGCTGCTGCTGTTGTTGCTGTTGTTGTTGCTGCTGCTGCTGCTGTTGCTGGTACCTTAATTGATTCTGTCGCGCGAGTTGCTGAGCGGCGAATTGTTGCTGCGCACTTGATTGGTTTGGGTAAGGCTGGTACTTTGTCGAGGTGATCGGTCGCGGTCGTGGGAGGTAACCCCGCGCTTGCGACTGTTGCACCATTTGATGCGGTGGTAGCATATTCGGGGATGCTGACAATTGATACGGAGGAGGTCTCTGCACCAGTTGTTGCCCGAGGGTCTGGCGAAGTAACACATGGTCGGCCGTGTTAGTCAGCAAATTCGATGTTGTAAGCAGAGGAGGAGGAGGTGGTGATACGATTGCATGTGCAACTTGACTAACCGGTGACGGAACTTTATCATTCATCATGCTTTGGAGATCTTTGAACGACGCCGCCGGTACACCGCTCGCAACCGCCGCCGACACCGAGACCATTGAAGCAGCAGAAGGTACGGGATGATGAGCAACAGGAGCTGGTGGAGGAGATGGTGCTGGGTCAACGCGGAGACCGAGGTACTCCTGCAGCGGTCGATTGCTTTCGAAGCGCATGATTTCCTCGGTCGTCCTCGCACGTTCACCCAAATACGGAAGATCGCAGGGCCTACAGGAGGGTCGAGGGTTTTGAGAAATGCCCTCGGCAGTCGTATCAGGGAGCTCTTATGATAATCCATGATGAGGTACTTTATAATTTCGCTATTCAATTATTCGGCGAGCAAGAAGATATTGGCACTCACTCGAACGCGTCTCCTTCTTCCCGGTACATTATGACTAGGTCTGCCATGATTTCCTCCAGCTTGTTGATCTGAGATAACAATTCTTTCTCGGTGGCGATCTCGGCCGATGCCATGTCGCGCAAAATGCCGAAGAATTTAGAGATCGCTTCAGTGTTCTTCACCACGCTGCACGCCGTGAGTTTCTTGGCGAGATCGGAAACCTGCGAGAATTCCTGCTAGGCGTTAGTCGACATCAAAGCTAGGTCTGGGGCTCTCAGGGGAACTTGGGATACTACCATCTGACGAAGGAAATCTCAATTCGGATCATCGTCTTTCATTCAATGCGGAAACCGACGGGAAACTCGGTATACATACCCCTTCCGACAAGAGCGTGAGCAGTTTGTCCTTGTTTTTGGCGTATTCCTTGACGAGAGTCATATCGTCCTTCCGAGTTGGAGGCTTCTTGAAGTCTCGGTTGAGCTCCAATGCGACAAGATTAGCGTAGAGATCCATCTGGAGCGCGCAGTGGTCAGTCGGGCGCATGGTCTGCCCGATGATCTCATCCTCCGGGACGTCATCGTTCGAGTCTGAGTCTTCTACGATGACCAGGGTAAGGTCTTCGGAGGCGACTGGTTCCCCGCCCATGTCGTCATCCTCTATGAGGGTGACGTGCTCCTCGTGCGTTTCTACGGCCATCTTCGAGTCGTCTTCACCTCCCTCTTGAACCTCTCCTTTGGCTGCAGATTGAGACTCTCCGTCGATAACGGGAGCCTTTTCCTCTTCACAGGGATTCTCGGCCTCCAAATGAGCTCCTTCTGGGGTTCCGACCTTCTCCAAAGCTTCGACGTCCCGGGCAATGGCAGCAGATTCGACTTCGGCTGCTCCGGAAGGGACTGTAGGGGTTGCGGCTTTCTCCTCGCTGTTGGCACTAGGTGTGCTGGAGCTATTCTGAGCGTTTTTGTTTTCGTCGTCTCTGACACTCTCGTTATCGCTGTCGCGGATGCCGGGTGACTCGTTGGCGTCGCTGTTCTTGGCGCCGACGTCCTCGACGAGGTCTGCGTTCTGCTCCGCCTCCTCCGTTTTCGCTTCGACAGCAGCTGTGAGGTCGGGCAGCTGCTCCCTCCCAGACTGGTAGGGTTCAATGTCTGTTTCGGACCCGCTCGAGGCGCTTGAAGAAGCCAATTTTCGGTTTTTGGAAGCGAGATGATGATTATTACGATCGCCTTTTCTCTTGTCCTTAATTCTCCCGCGCTTGTCAATGGTGAGATTGCTGTTAATTTTGATGGTTATGCTCTTCGAAGTATTGCCGCTGATGATGATCTTCTCGCTCGCAGGGCTTCGACTAGAGGAGCCGGTGCTACTGTTGCTGTTATTGTCGGTGAGGTTGCTGACGATGTCGTTCTGATCGTCGTCTTCGTTGTTGTTGTTGTTGTTGCTACTATCGTTATTACTCTTGTGGTTGTTGACGCGACCGCTACAGCTATTATCGTTCTCGTTGTTGTTGTTGTTGTTTGACGTTTTCCGGCTGGTCTTCGACTCTACTGCAGAGTCGCCATGGAGTGTCCACCCATCAGATGAAGTCGAGCTTTCCTTGACGAACTTGAGCACCACTGGTGGACTGAGTGAAACAGGAGACGTGGTTTTCTCACGTTGTTTCCTCAATCTACGAAGGGTACTCGTCGCTTTTCGGTGGCTGCGGCGTCGTTTCTCGTATACGCTATTCGATGAACTACTGTCACTCTGTGGCGAGCGTTCACGCAGACTCCGTTTCTGCGCCGCTTTCAGACGCACGCTCGTTGTTTTGCAATGGAACTTCTCGCAATCCGCAGCCGTCAGTCGTTGCAGCGTAACGACGGGCTGCAGGTTGAACTTTATTTTCTGTCCGTTGATCACGTAAAAAGTTTCTTTCGCTTGTCGGGAGCTTTGAGACGAACCTGCCGAGCGCGCTTCACTGTGTTTCGCGCCAGCCATGCTCCAAATGTTCAGGGATCATTCTAGCGTCGAGTGTCAACCAACTCACAGTTACCACTCGCAGTTCCACTGACCATGGGCCGCCTTCGAGATCCCGCTTTTCAACTACCGCGGGACTGTCAAAGCGTCTTTCAGAGCCCAGACAACCGTCGCTCACCTCAACTGTCACCTGCGCTACCCGAACGGAGCCCGCTTTCCGGGCCCGACGATTCTGGGAGCAGCAAGACGTGGACCGGAGGTTTCGGAGGGAATCGGACCCCGGCTGTCCTGGATCGAGATCGGAAACACGTGTGGCACGAAGCCCGCTTGACAATGCGTTGTCGCTCGTCAAGACAGCGGAGGAGTACTCTCCGTCCGGGACACCGCTAAAACCCCTCAGTGTGGGGAGGAACGATCTGACAGCGAGTCGTTCCACCGCCGCAGTCCTGCGTTGGCGGCGGTAATCTGGACAGCGATGATGATCACAATGATGATATAAACAACAAGAAGCGCGGCGTCGTGTTGTTAGCCGCTAAGGAAGAACTGCGCTCCTGTTGTTGTTGACGTCGTCGCCGAAATGTCGTCTGCTCGCGATGGAACACAGTCTGCTGCTGCGGCGGCGACAGCAGCCCTTCAGTTGTCGGTGGTCGGCTTATGTGTCTGCACACGAGCTCGTCTCACACACGACTGACTGGTAAGCGGTCCGGCGCTGGGGAGAGGGCCTCCATCCACCGCCGCTACCAAACCACCCAACAGCAGCAGCAACTATTAGAGAGATAGAGCGCGAGTGAGCGTTCGGCAGCTGCTGTTGGGTGAGGGTAACACCACAACCGTTCGCTCGACTGATAGACCGAGCGGCGACAACGACCAATCGAGAGGGCGTCCTATACTAGAAGAGCCACTATTCCTGACAACGCGCACACACCAAGTGTGCACACGCATACACATACAGCAGCAGCGAGTCTATAGCGTGTGTGCTAGCGCGCATGCGTTCCCCAGCACAAGCGTCGACGAGCCTGGCGGGCGGTGCCAGGAACGATGGGGAGGGGGGAAGGGGGTGGCTCAGTGGTGGGGCACCGCGGGAAATAGTGCGAAGCCGTTCTGCAGCGGGACACTAGTCTGGTGCACCCTGTGAGGGTCCCCACTCTCAGTCGCGACGGCGGCGCGGCGGCGGTGATCGCCGTCCTCTTCCTTGAGCCTCTTTTTATTCCTCTCTCTCTCTCACTGGCACATGCAGCGGCTTCAGGAAGAGAATCGTCATCATCATTATCATCAGCTGCAGCAATGCTCCCAGCGGCGGCGGCGGCGGCGGCAGCAGCATCATCATCGTACAGATCATGGGAGCGAACGAGCACAAGTTCCGAGAAGAAGTGGAGAGGGGAGTTCCATCTATCCATTGTAATGCCCATCCATTCGTTGTCGACGACGACCCTAATACCTGCGCGCGCTTGTCCCTCATCTTGATAGGAGTGGTAATAATAGAAAGATAGAACGAGAGAGAGCGGGAACGAGCGCGCACAATGAGTGACACTTGATGGAAAGGGAGAGACGAACTGACTGTGAGCCTCTTTCGGTGAGCACCACCAGCCAACATCACGACTAGCGCATGCAGCGGTCGCAGCACCAGCAGGAGCGGTAACGACGAGCTTGTGCAGATGTTTCTCCGGAGAATCAGCGTTCTGTGGGTCGCGAAGATCCTTCTGAGCGAGGCGAAAGAAAAGACGGAACGAGAAGAGGGGACAGAAATAAAGAGATCTCGTGCGAAGGAGGGAAAGGGAATCGCATCAAAGAGATGGCAACGGTTGAGCGACCCAGGACCGTTGATAAGCTTCGACCCGCTGAGCTCCGGATATCTCGCTGAGCAGCAGATGTTACGACCGCACGAACATTCCTGCTGCGGAACAGCCTCCCCTAGATATAGGGAATTACTCCATATGGAATGTTCTGTGCATTCCCCATCGATCCAACACGCCCGCGGCGTATATCTAGAATGAGAAGGAGTCGAGACTGCGACGAAGAATCGATCGAGGCCTCTCTGAACCGACCACAGAAGGATCCAGTCTCGTCGGAGCGGTACCGCAGTCTCTTCGATGACGAGATCCCGATCGAGAGAGCCGCGTACTTCCCGAGCGACCCCCTCCGAAGCCCCGATGTTCCTCGTAGCGAGCTCTTGTCGATTGAGAGCTTCCCCGGTCTCGAAACCCGCTCTCGACTCAGAATCTATTGGAAGCCGCTCGTCTCTCTGGCCGGATACCGACCATGGTGGCCGAGCTTCGCGGAAATCGGAGAGGCGTCAATTGAGCTCAAGTAGATCCCATTCCGCGAAATCGGCAGACAGTCCCTGACATATCCCACCGCGACGCGACCGCGTAGGCGCGAACCAACCCGGGATACACGAGTTGTTTTTGGTCTCCACGGAAGAGAGAGCGGCTTTCTGCAGAGGAACATCTGTCCCGAGAAATCCAATTCGATCTCGTCGATCCATCATCGTCGAGTTCTCTATCTATACACTCGCCCGAATTCCAAAACTCGCCCTACGCTCGTACATACGTACATGGCAAGCGCTCTTCAGACCGAGGTGATTTCGTCTCATTTTCCGATTCGTGGAACGAGTAGTTCCTTTTCTGAATCGAATAAGAAGCTCTTCGCCCTGTCCTCGTCTCGCGCGAAAGACTTCATCGAATTCCCGTCCTCGATATCCATCTAAGGAATGTAGAGGCCGTTGAAGATGAACCTCCGCTGCAGAGCTCGTGAGCGGATCCGAAGGTCCAGCGCGACGACTGAAAATCTCGCTCGCCTAGTCGGGCGTTCTCTGGACCGTCCGTCGGTCTTCGTCGGCTCCGTCGGTTCCTCCGCCTCGCCGACGACTTCGCCCGCCGGAGCGTCGGCAATCAACCGAGGGGTCGTATTTGGTAAGTCGTCGCTGCCGCTCCCAGAGCCGCTCCACATCCACATCTATTTACGCCATGGCATCCCAGCCGCCAGATAGCAGTTGCTTTGCTGCCTTTGTGTTGGACGATGATGATGATGATGATGCGGCCCAGGGCCCTCTCATTCGCCGGCTCGCTCGATCGCTCACTGGCCATGTTGCCAGCAAGAGCTAGTAGGGACAACCGGCATCATCGTATAGCAACGGTTACCATGGTAACCGGTGCGCTGGAATCAAGTCGCAGTTATTACAACAGCTACCACCACACTACTACCCTCCTAAAAACAGCAGCAGCAGCAGCGCCAACAACTACGCAGTTCTAGCGCTCGTATGGGCGCCGGCGCCGCCGCTACTCTAGCCAAAATCATCATCCTGAGAAGCACCTCCAGCATGTTCCCATGGCAGTCGCCGTCGGGTCGATGAGAGCTGGCGGGTGGGTCGCTCGCTGGCTCGCTCGCTCGCTCGGAAAACCCGAAAGCAGCAGCCGCGACAGAAACGACAACTGAGCAGGCTACTACTGAGTGAGGGAACCGAGCGAGCGGCCAATCAACGGACGGAACTCTTCTGATTGTATAGTAGCCTATTTGCTGCTGCGGCCGCGGCTGCTCTCCGTAACTGAAAGCCTACCAGGCAAGCCTATCCAGCGAGCCAGGCTGTCGGTCGGCCCACCAGGCTTCTCGCTCAGTTGTTTGCTTCGATGCCAAGAGGAACAAAAAATCGCCCACTATTTTCCTACTTCCTCCTGGTAACCGAGATCGGCTGGAAGATAAACACCCATCTTCGGGGATTAATAATTCTTGTGGGGTTCAGAGAGGCCGTGTAGACGGTGGCGGAGACGGGATCCCAATCGTGATGAAGAACACGCAGAGATTCGGCACTACGAGGTGCTACTCGTGTCCTTAGCGCCTCTATTTCGAGCTCGACAAACCGTAAGGGCAGAACAGCTGAGCTCGACGTCCTGTGGCTAATTCGAGACGATTCCACGCTTTGGAGTGAGCCATCCAGATCGAATGATCCTATTCGACTCCAATTAGGAGCTTGAGTGAAGATACACGGAGAAGCCCCGAACGCTGTTTCTGAGGAGCTCAGAGTAAAATCTCATATCCATCATGATGTTCGTCGACGATCCGCTTGTCGGCTTCGTCGGAGGCACCCCCGAAGGCTCGGATCCCCCATGCGATCGGCCAGCTCGTGGAATGATGGAATGATGTGCAATCGCTTCGCGGAACGGCAGCTTATTCAGAACCAGCGAAGCACCGAGTTCCCCTATGTGAAGCCAAACAGATGGCGGCAACTCGTGCCGCGGTTGAGCGCAGCTGACTGCATGCGATCGGCCGACGCAGTCGTCCTTGCCGTTGGCTTCGTAGTCTATGAATAAAGGAGGAGCAGGGAAGCAGCTATCATGAGCCGGACTTGTCTGTTCCTCCTTGGCAACGACACCGGTGTGGCCGCGACAGATGCCGACGTCATCACCGATGCCTGGCGGGGCGATGAGCTACATTGCCGCTTGCGCAACGCTTGATGCTTGGAAGAAAATCGTGTTCCGCGCTGATAAGCGACCCGCGGGGGCTAGCTCGCGTGCATTCATTTCGGAGTGCCGTATCCTGAAGCCAGGAACCGCAATGATGCGTCGATTGTGCCAAGATACAGATTCTCCCGATAATTTCATGGCGGAACGATCTTCGTAATTCTATTGGTTAGGTAGGATGACGTCATGGAGAAGAGATCCCGCGGTGCGATGGTGGAGCAAGATTCAAGGGTCCCGAAAATCACTCTTGACAGTGGGAGAACTCTCTCACTCGAAGAAGTCCGCATCGAGGGCGAGGAACCTCGGATGCGGGAAAATTTTACTCTCTGTTATTCTTGAACGATTTGGCGTAGCTCTCCTTCCTTCGTCAAGGGATCAAATCCCTTCTCTGCTCTTAGAGCTTTGCGATTAGCTCCACGCGGGCGGTTCTGATGGATAGGCATGAGAGTCGGACTGCAGCGTCAACCAGGGAACCAGGGTGTAGAGAGTCGGAGGGAGATGAGCGATGAATGGAATTCCTGGACGCCACATCAAAATTGTCGAGTCGAATTCTCAGCGGATGAA